GAGTTGGATCTGAAGCAAGGGAGAGGAGTTCTTTATTGTGATAGCCAGAGCGCTATACATCTTGCCAAGAATCCAGTATATCATGCCAGAACGAAGCACATCGACGTTAAATACCATTTTATACGCTCGCTAGTTGAGGACGGAAAGTTGCATTTAATGAAGATTTTGAGGAGTCAAAATCCGGCGGACATGTTGACGAAGGCAGTCACCATTGAGAAACTGGAGTTGTGCGCAACTTCAGTTGGCCTTCACGAGTAGAAGACGAAGGCGGCACCACACTACGAGGATCGGCGAGATCGCCGGGATATTGTTGACTGAAGGAAGAATTTTTCGGGGGAAAAGATACATGCGAAGAAGGGAGAGTTCGGGGGAACTCATTGCAGACACTTTGGTCTCCAAGTGGGAGATTGTTAGTCTAAGGTGTAAAAACCCTGTAAGTATTTTGGTCTCAGGTTTTGATTTCGGTCGACCGCGCCGGTCGACCGCCAAACTCTCTGGAATCTGATCGGTCGACCGGGCCGGTCGACCGCGACGCAGTCAAACAGAATCCTGTTCTGTTTAGGAATATGTTTCACCCAGGATTCTATATATACCCCAAACGATTTTAGGGTTTGTACAACATCAAAAAGAGAGTTTTTTGACTGCAAAGAGAGAGAGAATCTCAGAGAGATTAATCCCTTGTTTGAGAGCTTGTATTTTCTTCTTCAATTAATAAAGAGATTGTGTGGTGTGGCTCCCGAGGACGTAGGCACGTTGCCGAACCTCGTTAAATCTGTGTGTTCATCACCTTTACTGTTTTTTACAAGTTAGATCTTTATTTGTGATTTTATTCCTACTTTCCTACTTTCAACACAAGGTCCGGAAGGACAAGGGTTCGATTGATTGTTTCGAATCCCCAACAGATTCTAACATATTATATATATGAAAATCATCTATCTCGATGAGAAGGAGTCAATCAGTTTGGCAGAATCTCATGATCCCATCAGTAACACCTGTTTTGGCAGGATTTCAGAAATAATCATCTTTTAGTTTTTTTAATAATGAAGCTAGAATCAATTTAGATTAGGAATCAAAATTACTTTTTACTTAATTAGGATTGATTTGTTTCCTTTATTATAGAGAGTCTTTTAGGTAGTTTTAAATTGTTTCTTTCTTTTAGGAATTCTGTTTTTATTAGGAGTAGAATTTGTTTTTTTTTTATTTAAGGAGTGTAATCCTCATAAATCAGATCACTTTTATCAATAAAATTCTCTTTTATATTACTTCGTGGATTTGAGGCTGTCTCTTCGTGGATTCGAAAATTGTTCTTTCTGGATTCAGAAAACACCCATCGGTAGATTCTGAGGTTTCTTACTTGGGTGCTGCTACAGAGGCCCCAAATAGGGGACCCAATGGGGGACAGGTGAGCCCCCCCTCTCCGAATGCATGATACATTGTTCATGAACAGAACATCATGCATTCAAGGGGGACACCTCACCTGTTCCCCCCCTTGGGTCCCCTATTGGGAGCCCCTCTGTCATTTTTCTTCTTTACTTCTGCACTGCGTTACAAGTCATAGTAGATGCTCTAGAATAGCAAGTCATAACGGTGGATTATACCCCAACTCTTGTCACAGCTTCAAAGTTTTGATGCATGATAAATTCCTTTAACATCGAGAGCAAATCGCAACATAACTCTCAATTCCCGTTACAACTTTCGAGTTTTGACGCTGGCGAGCTCCTCTGGGAATTAGCGGTTGACCAGCCCATCAGATCAAAAATAAACAATTGCTTTGAGAATCACTCCCATGGGAAAATTTGAACCTATCACCACCTTTCAGAGATGAATGCATTTAATTTTCATCTCAGCTTGGCAACAGCAGCAGGTAACCAAATTAATTTTATCTGAAAGTACAGGGTTCAGCGTTCATTGAACGGTAAAGGAAAGCAAGCAGCTAGCTAGCTAGCTCACATCATCATCATCTATCATTAACATTCGCTTCGCTTTCTCTCAACTCCCCCAGCCAATTAAAGAAACCTTGCCCATTGGAGAACATCAAGGGATGCCAGCCCCCATCGCTCTCACTCAGCTAGTTTTTTGTTGCTATTAAACCCCTTTATAGCTCTTTTTACGCACTTAGCTCTGCAGTTATTTGTCATTTAAACAAAGAGGGGGTAGTAGTAAACAGCAAGCCTAGTTTAACTAACGCTTCACTAGCGGTCAGTTCAATGAATTTTTCTGCAAGTGGGTCTTTAAAACGTCCCATCCTGTGAACCAAATGGGGGCTCATCTGATCCCGCCTGAAATTTTGACTGAGGAATTACAAAATTGGCATAAACCCGAAGAAAATTTCGAACCATTTATAATTTTGGCCAATGGAGCTCGAGGGTGATGTCATCCTTATCAGAAGCTTGTGGCTCAGGGGTGCTTCCACCCTAAACAAGCCATCCAACTTTTAATCCGACTTCAAAATTTTTACATTTTTTTTTCCTCTCTTTTTCAAAAGCACTCAGGTTTATATAAAAAAAATCTAATGTTGTTAAAATCATAAGATAATAACCGTCAATCTTTGTTGAAGTTCCCGATATTTTTTATATAAGTCGAGGAACTTTATGATGGTATATATAGGAGCAATCCAAATCACATTTGACCTGAATTTAATACGGCTTTTTTTTCGAAACGGCTCGTTTGTTTAACAGCAGCCTCCCACGGAGGCTCTTAAGGGTGATGTGGCAAGGCAAAGCTCCCAACATGCTCCAACAAGCTCCCAACGAGGCTCCTAAGTCCTAGTTGGCGGTGGGGTCCTAAGGGGTGGGGGCCTGCTAAAATATATATATTTTATTAGATTTATTGTTTTAAAATATATTTATAAAATGTTAGAGGCAGGAGAATGGATTTTTTTAAATAATATTTAACCTCCTAATTGGGAGTTTGTTGGAATATTTGAGCTAGTAGGAAGCTCCTAAGTGGGCCTCATGCTTGAGAGCGCTCCAACTCTCAAAACTAAAATTTGCAGTTTCTGATGCAAGTGACTTTAGGAAATTGCACATCGACCGTACGCATTAGCCTGCCCTCAACAATCACAGATCAAATGAGCTGAACTGCGCGTGAAGAGAGCGATCGATCACGAAAGCAACGGTAATCATCGCCAAATTGAGTCCAACCTGTTGCATGCCAAGAAGCAAATAGTGCGGCACAACCCACTTGATTTAATACGGCTCCCGAGACTTTTTCGTCTACCGCCCACAATCAGAGCATCGGACGAAGCTCCCCCCTGCATCATATGCGGGTCCTTTTCCCAAAAAAAATTTTAATTAACAAGTGGTGATGAAAGTGAGGAGGACCGGAGCCCCCAACGGGCCCCACGACACCAAATTGGATGACAGAAAGCTGCGCGGGGCCCACGTATTCTTCGTGGAGCAAACTACAAATATCCCCCACCCTCAGCCCCCATTTTCAGTAGCAAACCCAACCCTCAAAAAAACTTCTACGAAAACGGGGTCGTGGGTCTCGGAGATCCGACATCCGTTGTTGTAAGCCCTCTTGACAAGTTTTTTTTCTTCCCTTCTTCTTAAAAGGAGGAGGTGACGTCTGACATGCACATGTTACTTTTCTCTGTCACAACAATCACGACTTTCTATTAGTACATTCTATCGGTACAGCTTGAGCGTACCGATGGTGAATATACTGTATTACGTATGTGATTGTTCTGATAGCGACGATATTGATATGACAGATGTCACTCTCTCCTTCGTGCTGACGTATGAAAAAAACGTGTATTTATCCATTTCTAGAGCGTATTCCGACCTCTTTCTAAAACATTGCTCTGTCACCGTGCTCAGAAAGACAAGAATAT